GGGACGGTGCCTTCCTTCAACATGACAAATGAGCACCTACTGTGTGCAGGGGCCGCTCTAGCCACTGAGGACACAGCACCAAGCACCAAGTCTGCTCTCAAGGAACCCAGAGCCTCTCATGGGAGACCAGCCAACGAGTCCACACACAGATGAGACCTCTGTGCTAATGCCAAGTGCCACCAAGAAAACCGAGCAGGGCGACAGACGTGAGGTGACAGCTGTGGGTAGGTTCAGCAACCTGAGAGGGGTGGTCCAGGAGGCCCCCTGCAGAGAGTGGCCTCTCAGCTGAGCTTTGCAGGGACTGGAAGGAGGCAGGCAGCAAAGGTCCTGAGGCAGAAACGAGAGTGGGGTGTTGAGGATAGAACAAGGACAGGTATCACCGCAGAGGCAAGAGGGACGAGAAAAACCCTGAGATGAGGGAGAAAGGTAAGGACCGGACCTCGGAGGTTCTTTGAAGTCATAAAAATAACTAAAAATAGAAATAAAAACAATATAAAAATAGTTATTATTATTGCTGCTATAAATAAGATGCCTTTTTCCAAAATACCAAGCTCTTCTAACTTAAGCAGCACCGAGCTGCCCCTCTCTCCTGGTTTTCCACCTTCTCCAATTTGTCATCTTGCTGGAGTGGAAAGTGCCGATCCCGTTTTAGTTGACAGCTATAAAAAGAACACTGGAGCTGATGGTGCTGATGACCAAACCCAGGCTAAGATTAGCTCGGGAGGCTGTCACCTTTTCTTAATGGGAGCAGCAGCTGGGATTCCCCTTCCTTGGAAAACTCCAGCTGTTCCACCCGCCCGCAGCGCCCCGGCCGGCCAAGGTGTCCATGGAGATGGGCACCAAGATGAGTTTTGGAAAAAAGAAGTTGAGCAATAGGGATTCCCCCTGCAGGAATCAGTTGGGCGCGGGCTGGAGCTCCTCAGGTCAAAAAGGCAGGCCCAGCGCTCTGCAAGTTCAAGGGGACCCCTCCATGAGGGCTGCAGGGCACCAGGCACCCCACACAGGGAGCCCACCACTGTGGCAGGGACTCCAGTTGTCTCGGACGCTCCTGGTCTCTGTCATCAATCCAGGAACAGCTCTCTCATGGGGCCCCTCAGGCAGGCAAGGTCCTCCCGATGCCTGGGACATGGCACAATTCCAGGGAGGGTCCCCATCGCCCCAAAATGGCTCAAGGCCAGGGCTTGAGGCACACTAGCCTGGCTCTAAACTTCTTCAGAGCAGAACAGCTAACAACAGTCCAGGGTTCTGGAGCCAGACTGCCTCGGGTTAAATATCACTGCCATTTACCAGCTGGGTGACATTCACTAAGTTACTTAGCCTCCCTGCCTAAGAGTTTCATCTGTAAAACAGGGAGAGAAGTAGCTTATTTTTGAGTAATATCAGAGGAGTAAGATCAGTTAACATACAGGGAGCGCAGAGAAGAAGGCTTGGCCCAGAGTTTATTACTTCTCTTTATTATTCTTCAATGTTTTGTGGTTCCATGAGGTAACCTCTTACTGGTTTTTGTCCTTCCACAGCCAAAGTATAATGATAATGATAATAAAAGCTGCCACATATTGATCATTATCAAGACACCCAGCCCTGTGCACAGACCTTAGCAAGATGGTCTCATGATACACTCTCACCTCCCCAGAGCACAAAATCACCTGCATTTGATAACGAGGGGGTGCTGGCCCAGAGAAGTGTGGTGACTTAGCCAGTGTTGCCAGCCACTGCATGCTGATAAATTCAACCCTGGGCTGTCCAACCTCAGGGACCGTGCCTGTACCCATGCACTTCACGGTCCCCAATGCTTGTCTGGCCTGCACCTGGGGAGTGTGCATGGACCATAGGAAGTGCATGGCCAGAGCAGGATGACACTGGGGCACCACAGAGGTGACACCTACTGTGCCCTGAGCACGTGGTGTGATCTATGGACATGGCTCCTGTAGGACCAGGACAGAGAGGGTTCAGGGAGGCAGAACCAGAGGTCATGGCTGTGTACCATCTGTGGGTGGTGCCTGAGCTCTCCCTGCTTACCTGTCTGATGTAAACATGTGCTTTCTGCAAAACCAAGAGAATGGAAGCTGGAGGGCAAATGCCTGCCAACCTGCCACCCATCCATCTATCCATCCTACCATCCATCCATCCTGCCATCCATCCATCCTACCATCCATCCATCCTACCATCCTGCCACCCACCCATCTATCTATCCATCCATCCTACATCCATCCTACCATCCATCCATCCATCTATCCTACCATCCATCCATCTCACCATCCATCCATCCATACATCCATCCCATCCAACCATCCTGCCATCCATCCAACTATCTATCCATCCACCCATCCTACCATCCATCCTACCATCCATCCATCTATCTATCCATCCATCCATCCTACCATCCATCCATCCATCTATCCATCCTGCCATCCATCCATCCATCCTGCCATCCATCCATCCATCCTACCATCCATCTGTCCATCTATCCATCTTGCCATCCATCCATCCTACCATCCATCCATCCATCCAACACCTGAGGTAGCTTCAAAGTAACTGAGGTCCCAGGACACTAGAACTTGGGTGACACCAAGCTCCCCGAGGAGCTTAGTAGGACCCAAGTCTTAGTAGGTCCCAAGTCTTGACCCAAGTCAAGTCTTTCCCTACACAGTCTGCAGCACAGAGGTTCCGTCAACTGGACATGAGTGACAGAATCTTACATCTGTGTGGCATGTTCCCCTGTGTCCACAAGGTACTTTAAAGCCATGTCAGACTTCTTGTCAGAGTCAGCAGAAGGCCAGCAGGGTGGGTTCCTAGTACTACAAATGTCTCTCCTGGCTCCAGAGATAAATCTATTTGGTCATTTACATTTCATGTTGCTCTCCTGCTCAAGAACCCACTATGACCCCCCTATTACCTTACCCAGACCCAGACCAAACCCAGGGCATGTCTCTACCTGGCACTGGGAGACTTCTAGTTCTGATTTCTGCCTAACCCACCCAGATATTTCCCAATGTTAACCAGGCTCACAGAAAAGGAAACAGTTCCGTAAAGTACTGTAAGACCATGTAACAGAATGCTACGCATCTGTTTAACACTGGATCCTCAGAGAATGTAAAACACCTAAAAAATGTCCACAATATTAAAAAAAAGATTAAAGATATACTCTGCTCTCTCCTGCTCCTCTCCTTGCTGTCCCCAGCACCCCACTGGGGACTCCGCCCCTCCCACCCCCAGGCACATTTGGCAAGGGAGGAGACATTTTTGGTTATCGTGATTCGGCACCTAGTAGGGCGAGGATGGGGAAGCTTCTGATCCTTCTCCTTGCACAGGTCGCCCCCACCACACATGCGCCCATGATGTCAACAACAACAGGCAGCCGCAGGCCATTGCCTGAGCGGCTCGGCTCCACTATCTCCGGTTCCTCCTCTAAACCGGTTCCTTCCCACACTGCCACCAGGGCTGGTGCTGTTCAGACCGCGCACCAGCACGTCACAGCACGTCAGTGACCTTGGGCTTCTTGGCGTGCATGACATCTGCTCTGCTGACCTTTCCGATGTCCGACACTTGGTCTCCAGGACCAGGCTTCCGGTCCCCCTCTTGCTGGGACAACTCCTCAGGTGCTGACGGGTGACGAGGCACCCAGCATTCTGTCTGTTGCTCTCCCTTCCCACGCTGCAGGCATTCCCAGAATTTAACGCAGGGCTGACAGCTCCCAAGGAGATATCCTGCCCAGGACCCGCCTCCCTCATCTGGACCCCTCGGGCAGGCCCTCCTGGACCTCTTGCCTTTCAGGAGTGACACCAAGGCCCATCCAGGAAGGTGCCTAAGCATGTCTGACACAACACTTCCACTTCCAGAAGGGGACCCGAACCCCCACCCCGCTGGTCTCCACCCAACCACTGCTCTGCACACATCTCAGGTAGCAGGACGCACACAGACAGCACAGCCTCCTGCCTCAGCTGCATCAGCCACTTACTGAGCACTTCTGGTACACAGCCAACAAAAAAGGACATTAGACCTCGCACAGAAGAGAAATCCAAAGCACAAATGAGTACCAATCCACAGATTGTTTTTTAATTAAAAAAAAAAAAAAGACATTTTTGAAATAGGATGAAACTGTTCCTGATATGGTAGAAGGTTTAGTTTGTAGACTTCTGGTAGATAATTTAGCAATATGTACTTAAAGCCCTCAAAAGGACTATCCAAATTTCCACTGCTAGGAGTCAATCCCAAATAAATACAAAAAGGTATACCCAGAGGCCTGAGCATAAGAAGACTAATACGTTTCCACTGGCTTGAACCACCGGTGGTACAACTGGATCTAATCACATCTATCATCCTTTTTACTAATAAAATTAATAAAAAGCTGCTTAAGAGGACAGGCATGCATGTACTACTGGTGGCACTAGCCACCTGACAGTGAGATATACAAATTATGGCTGGTTGTGAACGTGTCAATTCATCTTAGCAGTATATTATAGCACTACCTATGATAAGGACTATGTAGACAACGTTCATTGGTTTATAATACACCTGGTGCTGCCACAATTCCTTCACATATATAACTCATTTAACCTTCGTGACAACTGTATGGGGTGAGAACTCTTATTACTCTATGCATGAGGAAACTAAGGCACAGAAAGGCAATCTGCTTGAGGTCACAGAGCACACAAGAGGCATGCTAGGATTTGAACCTGGTGAACACACAGGGTTAATCACCATGCCATTCAGCTTCTCTCCTTCATAATAGAAAAGTTTTTAAAGGTTTGCTTCTCTACGCAAAAAAATTTTTTTTAAAGAATCAAGGTTGACAGTCTGCCTTAGTATCCATCAAAGCAACCGAGGAGCCGCTAAAAGACCTCACAGCACAGCCACGCAGTGGTGAACTGTGGTCCTGGAGATCCTTGGAGAAAATGAGCAAAAAGAGCAGTGTGGGAAACTGCACAACTGCTGTACCGGAAGAGAGACAGTCACTAGTGTGTGGCTCCAAAGGACAAAGAGCTCAGAAAGCCACTGACCTGTGGTCTTCTCGGTGAACACGACTTTGGACTCGGCCGTGAAGTTCTGTCCCGTGAGGATCATCTGCTGGCCCCCATAGACCAGGCAGCTGTCGATGTCCTGCCTTTCCACCATGGGCAGCTCGTGGGCGGACCGCTGGGCTGCAGGCAAGAGAAAAAGAGGTCACTGTGACAAGGACACATCTGCTCATGAGGGCCAGTCCGATTTCATGGTAGCCATTCGATACGACATGCTTTGTCACCTGCTGTCACCATGGATGTGGAACCACCACCCCTGATGACCAGGGACTCCAAACATTATGTTTTTATAAAAGTGCTGGAATGGTTTAAGCTACCTTCCTTCTGACTACACTCTTTGTTTTCATGAATCAAGGGACACACACCCATTCTCACAGACAGATGGGAAAGGGACTGAGAATTTGACCTCTGCTTTTATGAAGGATGATCAAACTGACCTTCCTATCAGGGGCGCTTTTGTAAAGTTTCTCTCTCCTGCTGCATCTTCAGTCCAAACACAAGAGCATCCTGCGTGTTGACCTTAGGACTACAGTCCCAAGAGACTTAGATGCAATCACCCTAGGACTCATGTGTCCTTCTTAACATGGTCGGCAGGACAGCCAGGGTCTGGCCCCATGGGCAGCTCTTCAGCTTCCCCTGATCACACTACTCCTGCCACACTTCCAGAATATTCTCAATGTCTCTCGTGTATACTGAGCACATGCCCCACTCTGAGCAGCTGTACTTGCTCAGGGAAATGTTCGCTTCAGATATACCATGGGGAGCTTTTCTTGCTTCATCTTCTTGTATCTCTCCTCTCACTAAAATGTCACCCCAAGAGGGAGGGGCTTTGCCTTCATCCTGCTCTAAATCAAGGCCAGAGCCAATGACAGGGCCACACTTAGCAGGAGGAGCATGAGGTGGGCGGGTGGGTGGATGGATGGATATAGATGTGGACAGGGGTGACTCTCAATAAGTCTACTTATTTATATCCACAATGAATGAGAGGAAGAGGAGCAGGACATATCTACACTGAACCAGAATATCACGGATGCTCACAGCTGCCCTCTGAGGAAGGAAATATTCACACTATTCACATCTGACCAGGGAGAAACCTAAGTCTAAGCAAAGTCAAGTCACCCACTGCTTGGCCGAGTGGTAAGGGGCAAGGATCAGACCTGAGCCCTTACAAGCAGGCTTGCCAGCGCCAAGCCCAGGCTCAGAGCCCCCTCCCACCAGCCACTGGTCCCCAGGGAGGGCAGGCTGCCTTCCCTAGGCAGGTGACAAACAGGTTCCAGCCACAGCCCAGGTCCCGCCTCCTGCCTCCGCCTCCACAGGCCCCACCTCCCAGCGTGGGCCCAGAGGCTGGCCCTCCCCACTGTGAGTCAGCCCCAGCTGTTGGCTCCCCTCCTGGAGCTCAGAGAACCCGGCACAGGGCCAGCACCTTCCATGCCTGGGGCCTGTGGACTTCCCCATCCGGGAGCTGAGGCAGCAGCCCCTTGAGAGCCATGGCCCAAACTTAACCCTTCCCTCTGGGTATCGAGCATCCCCTTCCCTCTACCCTGAGACTGCTGGGCCAGAGATGGAGCAGGCAGATGGAGCAAGCATGCAGTGGACAGTATTTCTGGAGTCTGTCCTGCACCAGCCAGAAGCATCCTGACACTTGGCCTTGAAGGCACAACCCCGCCACTCCAGCTCTGTTCCCAGAGCCCGACTGCAGGGTGGAGGGTGTCTTAAAAGGCCTCTTGGCAGAAGCTGCTAATTTCTCCCACATGGGCTGGGTTATTAATCCTTTCTTTCAATATTGGAGTTTTGTGATGACTGCCCAATTGAGCTGCCACAAATGGAGATTTACTAGCAGTGAAAACAGCAGCCCCAGGGCCTGGCTTTTAAGATCTGCCTTTGATGGAGTTGGGGGCCACAGGGGCTTATGGGCTTCTGGCGCTGGGGGTGGGTAGGGAGGTGGCAAGAGCCACCCCTCCCATTTTACAGGTGGAAAACTTGAGTCATCGCTACTGGGCGACCCAGCCAAGGGCCTGCAGCCAGCCCAGCTGGACTGGACGGGGCTGAGAGCTTGGCGCTGAGTGGGAGCCCGGCTCAGAGGGCACCTGGTGAATCACTGTGCATTGCTCTGAACGCCACTCATCTATTTCCTGAAGCAACTTCGTTGCTTCTCCCTGCAAAGCCTCAGTCTCAAGCAGTGGCCAGAGATGCATTTCCTGCCTCCTTCACTGCAGGGAAGCATTTTTTAAAATGAAAATTTAAAGAGGAGAGTCCAGGACAGCTTCTGTCAAGCTTATCTCATCCTGAAAATCAAAGCACTGCCCGAGGCAGCAGAAGGAAATGCAGAGCCTCGGGCCTTCCCAGACCTCTCTCCCCTGTCTGCAGCCTAGCTGGGAACCCAGGAGGAGCCTTGCTCAGCTCCAGCTGCACGCAGGACCAGCCAGAGAGCTGAAAAGCTACTAGTATCAAGGCCCTGAGCCCACAGCAACGTGGGCCCAAGGCCACTGGTCATTCTTTGTGGTGGGGACCACTCTGTGAACTAGCACAAGAAGCCAGTAGCCCACCCCTCAGCTGTGACAAACAAAAATGTCTGCAAAATGGCTGGTGGAAGAAAGATACAAAATTGTCCCTATTTGCCAGCAACAGTTCAAGAGATTCTGACTGAAATGGTCTGAGGATAGGACCCCAGCATGTCTCCGGGACCACAGCCAGTTTAGTACCGTTTGTGGCAGCACTGCTGCTAGGTGGGGCAGTGCAGAGCACTGGGAGCAGCAGCAGGATATAGACAGGGAGTCAGGAAAGCCATGGGTCTGAGTCCTGCATCTGCCACCACCCTGGTGTGTGACCCTGGGCAAATCGCATCACCTCTCTGAGTCTCAATGTCTCCTCTGTCAAATCCTAACAGGCCCCGATCTTACGGGTCTGCTTCACACAGTGCTAGAGATTTCACACACAAATATGTGGACAGGGTCAGAGCTCAGTTGGTAAAACATCTAAGGTCAACTCAGATGTCCAGGGATGGATACGTGGACAAAGGTGGTACACTCATACAGAATGTTTTCAACCACAAAAAGGAACAAAGTACTAGCACTTTGAAAACAGCCTGCTAGGTGGAAGGAATCAGTCATCAAAGGACAAATATTGTATGATCCTATCTATATGACACATCCAACAGGCAAATGTAAAGTAGATGGACAGGTACCGGGGAGCGGGGAGAAGGGAATAGGGAGTGACTGATAATCAGCACAAGGTTTCTTTTCATGGTGAAGGAAAAGCCCCAGAATTACTTGGAGTTGGTAGTTGCATAATACTATGAATGTGTGGTTAAATTGGTAAGTTCAGTGTTGTGTGTATTTGGACACAATGAAAGTATCTAAGACAAAAACACTTAGCCTATGCCTAAGAGCTCGCTAAGCACTCAAGAAACCGTAATCTGCACCATCATTAACCATCTGGCACAGGAAGTCCTGCCAGCAGAGTCAGTGACACCCAGAGCTGGAGAGTTAGCTATGTTGCCAAGCCTGGGTGGCCACGCCCACACGCTGACCCAGACTACCTCTGCAGCCACTGTGGTTCTTGATGGAGCCTCAATTTATCACCCAGGTTTCTTTTTTTTTTTTTTCTGTTGTTGTTTTTTTGGTACCGGGGATCGAACTCGGGACCTTGCACTTGCGCAGCAGGCAGTGAAACCACTAAGCTAAATCCCCAGCCCTCACCCAGGTTTCTTGACCCTAGCTGCCAGACATTCTCAAAGTGTAGCTCCCCAGCCATTTGGAGCAGAGTCCCCCAGTTGAGGCAGGTGCTTTAATGCAGCCCAAGCCACATACACAGATGCCTCCCCAACACACACACACACACCCAGCCACCCAGCCACCCACCCTGAGTCCTGAGTTGCTTAGGCAGGGGCCAGACAATGGCATTTTGACTACCTTTCCAGGTGACTTGTTATACCCACTTTTTTTTTTTTTGGTACTGGGAATTGAACTTGGAACCTTCTGCTTACAAAGCAGGCGGCAGCACCACTGAGCTAAATCCCCAGCCCTTTTACACTCACTTATTTAAGAGCTGAATTCTGCTAGTCGGAGGCCACTTGAGGATGGGGGAACTCCTCCCATGCAGGCCCCAGTCCTCAGAGAGCCCAGGGCGAAAGTATCCAATTAGCCTCTAAAGGAGGAACTGGGGAGAGGCAGACAGCAACCAAAATGACGTCTGGGCTCCTGTCTCCGTCTGAGGTAACTTGCACCACGTATGGCTGCTGCTGGGTGGTGCCCAGGGCCTAAAGGAGGGCGCTCAGGAGGCCTCAGCAGCGCTCCACTCCGTCAGCCCCCAGCGACTCCACTCAGCTTCCTGCTCACTTGGAGTCCAGGCCAGCCAGAACCCCTGCCCACAGTTTTCTAACCAAAGCTGGCCTAGGCTTAAACAATCCTTGGGGCCCTGGCCTGTGTGAGGGGATCCCTAGCCCTGCATAAGCTTCACAGTGGCCCTAACAAAGCGGCTTCCCCAGCTCCACAGCTGCTCCAGCTCCTGGCACATCGTAAAGTGGCTCTGGGCTTTCGTATTTTATGAGCTCTGAATTCCTAGGTGCTGTGGGTTAAACCCACCTGTGTTTGCTCTCAGCCCTGTGGATGGAGCACAGAGTGTGGCTCAGCTCCACTGGGGAGAGGCATGGGCCCCACCCATAGCTCCACCCACCCGCGTCTGGAAATGGGGTGCTGTCTGCAGTTCGCCTTGTCACAGGGTTGGGGCGCCAGGGACACGTGGGAGAGGTTGGCCAGGAAAAGTCCTTTCTGCAGAGGGGCCGGTTCTGTCAACACCACAGAAAGCACCTCAGGGTCCCGGCACGTGATAAACATGTTCTGTTTATATTACAAAGCACACACATCGTGAGGCGACGCAGGGATGCAGGCAAACGTGAGGGTGCTGAGTGTGACTGCCCAGGTTCAAAGCCCAGCTTGGTGACAACCTAATGTCAGGAATCTGGACAAGTTACGTCAGCTCTCCGTGCCTGTTTTCTCACCTATAAAATAGAAATAATCACAGCCCCGACTTCACAAGACGGTTTCCAGATTAACTGAGTGGACGTACAGGGAACGCGTGGCACCTCATCGGGGCTCTGGGAGTGGTAGTTTTGTTTATTTTTA